AGTCTGCTGGAAGAAGAGCTCTCCTGGGGCCACCCACCCAAGACAGGAGGCAATTCATAGCAAAAGGATGTCCCTGCCACCTCGTCAAGTGACATCTGTGACCTAAGCCTAGCTTGTAGCTTCCTGTTACCATCTGCTGCTAGAGCAGAAGGGAGGGGGAGAGGGAGGAGGAGGGGAGAAGGAAAGGAGAGGAAGGTTGCTTCAGAGAAGAGTATAGAGCAGGGATGGAGACAGTAAACTCGAGTATCTCCCGCTAATTTGCCCCTGGACTTCTTAATTAGGAGGCTGGTTGTAAATATCTTCAGAACTCTCCTACATTTCTAGGTTAATTAGCAGAAGCTTTTAAAGATGTGCCATTTATAGCAAGATTTCCCTAAAAAGAGAATCTTGCTGTCCAAAGCAAAACTGAAAGCAAGTGGTGATAAATAAAAGCTACAATGTGAGTGTTTGCTCTGTGCTGAGTGTCACATGCCAGTTTCCAGAAAGTAACTCCAGAAAAATGAACTGCTGGCTCTAACCCCTTATATCTAAGGCATGAGAATTATAGAACTCAGATCTTTAGAGCCAAAGAGAATCTAGGAGTCTGGCAGCCCAAGTCTCGGATTCACATGTATATTTTTAATGCTTGTACTTACAGGGAAACTGAGACTCAAAGGAGTTGTGAGATTTGTGCAAGGTCAACCAGCTGGTGAGTTCTAAGAGCAGATGTGGATCCCCCATCACCCAGAGCCTTTTCCGTCAAGCCACCCGGTGCTCAGGTCCCCACCCCCCAGCCCACCACCTTCAAGCCAACATGGTGCACAGGGTTTACAACTATTAAGGAATGACAGAGACAGAGAGAACTTAGAAGCCGGTGGAGCTTTGGAGATCACATGCCAGTCCCTTTCCCTGGGAAATGAAGCCAGTCCCAAAGGGCCTGCACCACTGCCCCAAATTACTCAGGAATCACCAACACAGCTGGGCCTGGAGCTTCTCTTTTGATCATTGCCCTGTGATCTTTCTCATTCTGAGTTCTGGTGGCATCTCGGGCATTAAGGGACCCTCCAAGGCTTGTGAGTACTAAATTAAAACCACGCCAGGGCTGCAGTTCTCACAGGGATGATACCTGTAGAACTTCCCAGCTTTCTGTCCTCCCCAAAGGACACAGCCACATCCAATCTCTGGAACCTGTGAACACTGACTTATTAGGGAAAAGGGTCTTTGCAGCTGTATTTAAGCTAAGGATCCTGAGATGAGGAGATCATCCCGCATTACGCGGGTGGACCCTAAATCCAATGCCACGTGTCCTTACAAGAGCAAGGAAGAGGGAAGCTTCACAGAGAGAAGGGGGTGACACAGAGGAGGAGGCCACATGAAGATGAAGGCAGGGATCGGGGTGATGCTGCCACAAACCAAGGAATGCCAGGAGCCTCCCGGAGCTGGAAGAGGCAAGGACAGACACCTCCCCTCGCCCGAGCCTGCAGAGACAGCATGGTCCTCCCACATCTTGATTTGAGGCTTCTAGCCTGCAGAACTTAGAATACATTCCTGCTGTTTGAAGCTACTTACACCACCGTGTAATAGCAGACACAGACAACTAATACAGTTATACACTCTGTGGATGAAATAAGTTTTAACAAAAATCCACAGAAACCCAAGGTTCACAGTAACTATAACAAATCTACCATCACAACGTTCCCCAGCAACAAGGTTCGAGAATGACAGGCAGAGGGAGGAGCGTGTGTTGTCCAGTGCTGCTGCACGTTGGTGACCGGGCCAAACTGACTCACAGGCTGTCACGTGTCAGCGTGATAACCCTGCAGGACGGTTTTGTAGATGGCACACCCATCCGAGGGGGACGGCCCGCCTGCTGGGTGGATCCGAATCTGAGGCCGGACGGGGGTGCAAATGACTCCCAGACGTCCCAGCTCCGAGGGCGTTGCAGGGAAGGTCTCCAAGTCCTAAACCTCACAGAACGGCCTCCACTGAGCCCTGAAGCCAACGTGGGAAGAGGCCTTTGTGGCCACAGCGAACACTGCACTACTTGGGCCTCCAGGGAGAAGACAGAGCAAGCGGATGTCTCTTCAAAATGGCATGTTCTTGGATCCAGTTTTAGATATTCCTTCCGCAGCTGTTGAACCGAGTCTGAAGGCAAACAACACACGCATGCCCAGCCCTTCCGCCTCCCCAACTCTTTCTGGGGAGCGCAGCTCCACATGTGGACCCGGGAGACAGCTGTCGCCATCTGTGCCTCCTGCAAGCACGGCTGCCTCAGATGTGGGCAGTGTCCCCCCCGCCTCCCTTCCTGCGGCCGAGCATCTGGGAGACGGCCCTGGCGTTCTACCGGTCTAACGTGAAATTTCCCAACTGCTCCCAGCTCAACAGGTTTATTTCAATCCCACAAAGGAGAGCAAACTTGGGAACCCCAGGGGGAATGCTGCTGGCCCCCACTCTGGACACCCCCTGGGGACGGATGGGCGCAGATTCAGGGCACAGGCGCGGAGGCGCCAAGCACAGACACTGAGTGCTGTGATGTGACTGCTGGGACTTCAAGCTGCCCTCTGCGTGGGTCACGGCCATCTTCTCCAATAGCTTTCCTGGGGACGTGCTTCTCCCTGAGCCTAGTTTTGAAATGTCCTTGGGCTACAAATGAAAGCTTTACTGGAAAGGCTATAAGAGAACTTCTACCCTGTGTGTGTGGCAGGTGAAGGTCCATTTTGGTTTTTTTAAAGCTTATTTTATTATTAGTTTTAGACACAGGGTCTTGCTATGTTGCCCAGGCTGGCCCTGAACTCCTAGGCTCAAATGATCCTTCAGTCTCAGCTTCCCCGGTAGGGGACTGCAGTTGCCAGCACACCTGGCTTGGTAGGGGTCCATTTCTCAGGTCCCAGTCCAGATAGTGCCACTAGTGCTTTGCATCTAGAGTCGTACAGCAGCCTCCTACTCTCCGCCTTCAACCCTTTCCCATTTTTTTTTAAATTTGAGGTGAAATTCACATACTATGAAATTAAGCATTTTTTGTTTGTTTTTGAGACAGTTTTGTTTGTTTGTTTTTGCACTGTTACCCAGGCTGGAGTGCAGTGGCATCATCACAGCTCACTGTAGCCTCAATTTCCAGGATCAAGCAATCCTCCTGCCTCAGCCTCCTGAGTGGCTTGGACTACAGGCGTGTATCACCACATCTGGCTGACTTTTAACTTTTTTTGTAGAGATTGGGGTCTTGCTATGCTGTCCAGGCTGGTCTTGAGCTCCAGGCCTCAAGTGATCCTCCTGCCTCAGCCTGCCAGAGTGCTAGAATTACAGGTGTGGGCCACTGTGCCTGGCCAAAATTAACCATTTTAAAGTGAACAATTCAGTGGCACTCAGTACATTCATCAACAATGCTGTGCAACCACCTCCTCTATGTAATTCCAAAACGTTTTCATCACCCCAAAAGGAAACCCCATATCCATTAAGTGGTTCCTCCCCCATTTTCCCTCTCCCCACCCCCAGCCCTTGGTAACCACCAATCTGCTTTCTGTCTCTATGGATTTACCTATTCTGGATACTTCATATAAATAGAATCACACAATCCACGGCCTATTGTGACTGGCTTCTTTTACTCAGCACGACGTTTTCAAGGCTCATGCGTGTTGTGGTAGGCATCCCTGCCTCATTTAAGGCTGAGTAGGACCCCATTACAGGAATGCACCGCGCTTTGTTTACACGTTCGTCTGCTGATGCACATCCGGGCTGTTCCCGCCTCTTGGCTGAGGTGAACAGTGCTGCTATGACCATGTGTGTGCCTAGATTTGAGAACTCCCATCGTTCCTTACACAACAATCTGACCCAGCTACAATCACTTCGACGACTTCTTGCCACCCTTTGATTAGAGACCAAGCCCCTCTCATCCTGTCTCTTGTGTGTCCTGCGCTTGTCCTCGCCTCTGGGCCTCTGCGGGTGCTGCTCCCTCTTTGCAGAACCCTCTCCCTCTGGCCGCGAGGCACCCACGTCTGGCAACAGCCACGTCCTTGTCTCCCAAATGCAACACGCTAGGCCAGGTCCCCGCACAAGCCAACGTCAGCCCCGTGTGTCACGGGAAGAGCCTGCGGTGGGTCTCAAGAGGCTACCCGGGACCTTGGCTGCGGGATCCGCGGGCCACGGGGGCGCCTGGGCTTTAGGTCTGTGTCTCAGAAACATGCCCTGCAGGATACAGCGCCCTGGTGCCTGATGAAGTGAGGTGACAAGCTGCAGAGTCAGGCGGTCGTCCCCTCAGCTACCGGGCCCCTCGGGGCACAGCCTCCAGCCTGACGTGTGGGCCGTGAGTGAGGCAGTCTTCGTTTTTTCCATTAGACCACGTGACGCCCCATAGGCCTGTGAGGACTGGTCAGTGGCCCCCTCTGAACCCGGCCCCGGGATTCCCGACGGCCTCTCCTGGCCCCAGAGGAAGTGGCCCAGCCCAGAGGCTGAGAAAGCAGGACCAGAGCTCCGTTTCTGCTTGCGGCAGCCACACCTCAACTCGACAGGCCCGGCCGCAGGGTGCTGGGGTCCCACGGGATGTGGGTTTTGAAAGGTGGGGCAGTCTACACCTCCTCTTTCACCCACACGTCCTTTCTTCGCTTCTATTCTGAGCCACTGCTCCCTGAGTCTGCACACGCCTACACATGCACGTATGTACACACAGCGTATGTGTACGTACACACATGGCTCTAACATTCTAGTTTCCTCTTTTCTAATTTCTAAAAATAAAAATGATATACTATAACCTTTCCTTCTACATAATTCTCAGTAGAACCTGTGTAACATTTACTTTTCCCTTTCATATTCTCCACTGTTGCAATCTCCACATGAGCATCTGGCTGAAACCGCCTTTGAGGACAGGGCAGCACGTTCATTCCCCAACACAGTCATGTGCAACTACTTTTTTCCTCCACATGTAAAAAAAAAGAGAAGTCAAAGGTGGACAAGAGGCGCTCTCTGGCGTTTCCGAGGGCCTCTGAGTGGGCGACGGTGGCTGTGAGGGCTGCCCCCCTGCCACTTACCTCCAGGACCTTCCCCGTGATGAACTGCTGGCACGCTTCACATTTCACCCCGAAGAGGCCCTGGTAGTCCTTTTCGCAGTACGGGGCGCCATCCCTGCAAGAGAAAGCGCGCTCAGCTCCCAGGAGGCAGCGAGGGCTGAGAAGACCCCAACCACATTTCTCTGCGCGCTTCTCCACCGAACAGCAGAACACACTTACCCCACCCAGCGTGCGCCTGGCGGCCTGGCCCGACGTGATCAGAGCCACAAACAGACCGGTCCGGAGAGAGCGCCGCAGCTCTCCGGCCACGCAGAAAGGACAGCCGAGGATTACCCCTGCTGCTTCCTTGATTGTCTCAGAACCAACCAGCGAAAACCCACCATCGTTCTCTTTCTCACCAGCCCAGATTGGCTTCAGAGCTGGGCTCGGTGTTCATCTACCCCTGAGCGGCCACACATGGGGCCGGAGCCTCCCCACAGCCTTGAAAACCCCCCTGCTCAGCTCTCAGGGGGCCTCGGTGGCCCAGGGCCTTCCCTCCACTGGGGCAACCTCCTCCATGTACCTCAGAGCACAGGAAAGATGTCATTTTCTGTGTGGTATTGCGTGGAAAAGTTACAAAGCTCCCCACTTGACAGCCAGGTGACCCACGGACGCACAGCTTCCAGCGCTCGTGTGAAAGCTGGGCCTTCCTCTTCCTCCTTCAGTGCCCGTCACGGCCACCTGAGGAGCGTCTCGTTCTAACACAGGCGTTTCTGCTGTGCCCCAGCCCCGTGGAATTAGATTTCTAGCAGATGGGGCCCAAACTACGTTTTTTTGTTTCATTATATTTTTAAATTAAATTCATTTGTTTTTTTTTTTGTTTTTTTTTTGAATAGGTGATTTCATATGGTTGGAGAAACTTTTTTAAAAGCATATAAAAGGTATATGGTGGAAAAGTCTTCCTCACTGCCAGGCTACAGGTTTATTTTTAACACCACTTCCTTAACTCTAGCTGCTATACATTGTTATGGAACGTGAATCCACTCCCTGGCAGGCTGTTTTGTGCCCTAATGGGCTCACTGCCTAGGCCCTGTGTGTTTTTTGGCTGGGGTTGGGGTTGGAGGGTTGGGGTGTCTGCAAACATGCTCCAACCCTGGAAGGAGGCAAAAAGTTTACTAGTTCCACATAGGAAAAAGAAATAACAAAAGGAAAATCATTAAATGCTTAATTGGTTACAACACACAGTGTAACACTGACAGCCTCATTAACTGTTAAACCAGGCAATGATTAATAACTCGTTAAGCTTATAGTAGCCAAATTACGGTAAAAGCAGACGAATAAAATTCTTTTCAAAAGATTTATAGCACAAAGTTCACACTGATTGCAGGGTGTGGATGTATTTTAGCACATGTGATGGGGAGGGTGAGCCCCGACAGCAGGACCTCCAGACGGCCACGGTGGCCCCACGTCCCGCTCACAGGGTCCCCCAAGCCTTTGGCCCAGCCTTACTTGCTGATGTACTCCCCGGTGAGGACCTTCCCGCAGGACTTGCATTTAAAGCACCCCAAGTGCCACTGCTTATCCAGCGCCAGCAGCGCCTGCCCGTTCTTGATGTCTCTTCCGCAGCCGGCGCAGTCTGCAAAAGAACAGCACAGCACGAGGTCACCATTTGCTTCGGTAGCACAAGCACGCAGGCCGGCTCGACCCCACCCTGTGCCCACCACACACGCAGTCAGGATTCGCTCAGGCACCCTCTCGTTTCTTTCCCTCCACTAGACCCTTCCCAGTGAAGTCCTGTGAGCCGTATCCTCACACAGCACGGAAGCTTCATGAACCCCAGTGCATCTAAGAGGACTAGTGTCTTTCACCTGATTGGTTCCTCGGGGGTTATTTATTATTTTCCCTGGGGCCACGGTGTTTATTAAAATAAATTAGAAAGGATTGTTTTGGTTTTTTTTTTTTTATGGTTTTCTGTGTGTGAGTTATATGCAATGCAATCCACAATTTTGGAATTAAATTATCAATATTAATTGTAACAATAAGACATCAACAAGTAAGATTTTCCACAAACCAACTGCAGGGTTTTGCTTCACGAGGCCCCCGGGGTTATAACTAGCCTGAGTTCAATACAACTCATGTGGCAGTCAGTGTGTTAAGCACCCTCTGAGCTCCAGGTGGCCCAGATAATATTTAATCATAGTGTCTTGGCTGTGATTGTAAGAAAGTGCTCATAGGCCTTTACTGAAGACACATGAACAGCTAAGCGCCTCATGCTGGGTGCCTTGCTTCACGCTATATATGTGATTCCTGGAACGTTCTCCTTCAATCTCAATTTTGTAAACGGGCCTTCCTTATCAACCTAACCAGCCTCTCAAAGATTTGTGATCATCTATTAAATGGCTCCTTAATTTCCTATCTGTAAATTCTCCTTGGCAGGCTCCTGAAAAGAAGACAAAGTGGGGCCGGGCGTGGTGGCTCACGCCTGTAATCCTAGCACTTTGGGAGGCCGAGGCGGGCGGATTGCTCAAGGTCAGGAGTTCGAAACCAGCCTGAGCGAGACCCCGTCTCTACCAAAAATAGAAAGAAATTAATTGACCAACTAAAAATATATATACAAAAAATTAGCCGGGCATGGTGGTGCATGCCTGTAGTCCCAGCTACTTGGGAGGCTGAGGCAGTAGGATCGCTGAGCCCAGGAGATTGAGGTTGCTGTGAGCCAGGCTGACGCCACGGCACTCACTCTAGCCTGGGCAACAAAGTGAGACTCTGTCTCAAAAAAAAAAAAAAAAAAAAGAAGACAAAGTGGAAGTGTTTCTTCACGGTAAAGACTGTGGGCCTGGACCCAAAACCCAGCTCAACTCCCTGCTGGCCGGCTCTGTGACCAGCATAAGTGACTCCCCTTCTAAGCCTTGCTTTCCTCAAAGGGAAGTGGGGACATCATTAGCACCTGTCTCTAGCCTCCGAGGAGGATTCAGTGAAATAAGGGGTTTAGCACAGTGGATGGCACATTGGAAGTGACTCCTATAAAACATTTGCTATTATAACTGCCATTATTATTCTGATTATTGACTACTTCATTGTGTTAAGGGAGTTCAGTATTTAAAAGAACCCAGAAGAATATAAAATGGTGCAACCTTTTTGGAAAACAACATCTACAAACATTCAAAATCAATGTACAGGAGACAATGAAAGCAAACATTGCAGGCAGGTGGGCCACGATGTCCCCAACTGATCACAGAAACACTCACAGAATAAAGCACTGTCTAGGCCAGGCCGCTCAGTGGCCAGGTTTGGAACAAGACAGAGACAAGGCTGCTCAGTACACAGAGTGATAAAACACCCCCCTCTTCTGACCACATCTGTGACCGCTGCTCCTTTACTAATGACACTTTTAGCCCAATTAATTCTCTTTCCTCCTAGAAAAATTTCAGAGACCCAAAAACCAACCTGCCCCTGCTTTCTGCTTGTTCTTGTAGAGATGGGGTCTCAGTGTATTGCCCAGGCCGGTCTTGAACACCTGCCCTCAAGCAATCATCCCACCTCAAGCAATCCTCCCACCTCGGCTTCCCAAAGTGCTGGAATTATAGGCATGAGTTGCTGTGCCCAGCCACTCTTACTTTTTGACAACATCTAACCTAGCACTGCTTCTGCTCCCTTGAATACTCCCTAAAATTACCCAGAACCAACCCATATCCCATTAACAAAAACTCCAAACTGCCCTTTCTAGCAGCTACTTAAGTAAACTTGATAATTTTTTTTTTACTACAGGTGTGTTTCTGGTGATCTTGATCAGTGGTGTTAATGTACCTTGAGAACCAGCTATTTCATGTTAAAGATTTTATTCTACAAATACACGTACAAAAGAGTATGTGTGTGCCCTGCAGCATTTTTCTAATAACAAAAACTGAAAATAGCCTATCAGGACATCCATGAGGGGCTAAACTATAGTATAGTCAATGGAATACTATAGGCTGTTAAAAAGAATGAGGTAGATTTGTGTGCTGACATGGAAATATGTCCAAAATAGATCAAGCAATAAAAAAAGCAAGCTGTAGAACAGTATGCATGGCACAAGCTCATTCACAGAAAAGTGGTAAAGAAAAATGGTATGTGTGTGCTTTATTCCCAGAATACAATCTTTCTGGGGAAAACACAAAAAATTCATAAGAAACTTCCCTCTGCGGAGGAGAATTTTACTTTTTACATTCTCTGTATTGTTTAAATTTTTTAAACCATGAGAACTTTTTTAAAATTTAGTAAATATTTATAAAGTTAAAAATATAAGTCCTGAATACTGCTGATTAGAATTTCTTAATCAAATACACATCTGAGAGTATATTAGATGGTCACAAAATATTAAACATTTTTTTAAAAAAATCTGGGTTTTATAGGCATTCCAATATCTCACCAAAAATTTTGTAACAGGAATCTCACATCTGGTAGTTTACTATAAAGATAAAAACAGAAGGCCATGATAATTTGTTTAAATTATCATTTTAAATGGTAGGAACAAAGTATGGATTTAGGAAAATTGACAGTTTTTTCCAAAACTGAAAATTTTCTTTATTTGTCTTATTACAGAATCCCCACTAGGTGGCAGCAAAGATTTAAATAATAAGGAAGATACTGGGTAAGAAGTTTTTAAAGCAGAAAACAAACTTTAGGGAAGACTGTCGGGCTCAGGGAGGTTGACAGAGGGGTTGAGGGTCCCCCGCTGCACCAGCAGGGAGGTCCGGGGACACGGAGGGTGAGGAGAAGGTAAGAGTATGGGGCTTTGGTTTTAGGAAGACTCGGGCAAGTTACTCTCTCCTGAACCCTCCTGTTTTTCCCGAACCCTTGTGAACCCTCCCTCCTGAACCCTCTTACTGAACCCTCCTTTTTTCATCTGTGAAATGCTGACAGTATTAATAGCAGCCACTTTTTAGGTTGCTATAAGGAAGAAAAGAGATCATGCATTGTAAAGTGCTTTGCAAGACACTTACAATGCTTGTACTTGTCAGCCTCTCGGCAGGCTCCCCCTTCCCATGGTTAGGGCAGAGCCAAGACAAGGAATCGGGTTTCTGGACTCTAAGTCTTGCTCCCTTTACAGGAACCTCGGTGCCCAGATACCCCAGCCAGAGCTATGAAAGCAGCAAAGGTCCAGTTTGAGAACAAAGACTGTTGTGATCGTTCTGCCCCTCTGAGGGTTTCTAGCCCATGTGAGGGCTCTGCACACAGGGCACCATTTAGTCCTCACAATCCTCGCTGTCAAAGCCCCCTGTCCCCACCCTCGGGGTCTCTGTCACTCAGATCCTCCGTGCCCTGCACCGTGCCTCCTGGAGGGCAGGCCATTCTGTAACGGATTTTGATACCGTTCTCTGCAGCAACTTTCCCTGAATGCTTGAGGCCAGCCAGCTGCTAACGATGGGCTGAAAGCAGAGGTGGAGCAAAGCCTCCTTCATCCCAAACCTTGAGACACAAATCGAGCAAACCAACAAAGCCTGCCTCCCCGATAAGAGAACACCGAGGCTCCCTCTCCTCTCCGGACAAAATGGTCTTCGCTTGAACTTGACAGCATGCTGGGGAAAGTGGAAAAGATGCAAAGACAAAAGATTCATGCGGGATGGCTCGCTCCTTCCACGCTCACTCCAGCTAAGCTCTTTAATACAGAACAAACTGTCCTACTCTCTATCTTCATGTTTTTCAGCTGTTGAGAAAATTGTTTCCACATCACTGAAGCAGCTGCTGATAAATATAGAAAGCTGGTGATTGGCACTGGAATTACTGCCGGAGTCAGAAATAGGTGAATATGGATGAGCATCAAGGAGATAAAATCTGCCAGCAACTCGCCAGTGTTTTACCAAGGGAAAATGATGACCTAACGTGGAAAAAGAAAAAAAAGAAAAAGAAAAAAAAAACCCACCCCTAAACACTTTGCCCCAAGCCCTTTACTCTTAGCACCAAGAGTCAAAGAAAAGCAGGGATTTGGCTACTCATGTCCAAGTTAAACTAATATCCATGTACACACCTGGTTCCATATTTATATCATTTTGTTCAAAGGCAATAAATGTCCTTAACACTAGGGATCCTATTTCCCTATATCTATTTTTTTGGCATAGGGCCCTGGACACCTGTGGCTGCAAAAGCTGAAGCAATGGACATTGGCTCTCAGGAAGGAGATTGGTGCTCTGGAGCTGAGAGATGTCATCACGTAAGCTCCTGTCATCCTGGAGCCCTGTGTTCTCCTTGAGAACTATTTCTGTCTTCCTGGAATTTCCCACTTGGGAAGAGTGAGGGCCAAGCGTCTTACTGTAAAGAGACGCTGAGGACATGGAGACATATGAATGAGGTCTGCGTGGGAGCTACATTCCCATTCTTCCCAGCCTTCCCAGGCCTACAGCTTCGGAAGTGCCCAGAGCCACTCGTGAAGGTGGCAACTGCCTTCAAAGCAGCAGGATCGAAGGATCCCTTCCAGGATCGAAGCTTCCAGAATATGGAATGGGACACTTTTCCTAGTGTCACAGAATTGTTGGCTAAGGCCTCAGAGCTGAGAACAGTGGTGATAAGTATTCCATCTTCCAAAGGGTGCTAGGAATATCCTTGCAGGACTTATCAAAAGGTAGGACTTATCTACCTGATAACTATCAACGCCTGTTG